ATGTGTGGTCATGATTGTTCCTGGTGATTTCCCTACTGGTCTCTGTCTCTCTGTCACACACTCACACACACCATTGTAAGTGGAGACAACACACACACTCCTGCCTCAGTTTCAGTCCCCGCAGAGCAACACCGGGGTGATTAAAAAGCCCTTTGAACAAAGGCGTTCGTTGAGGAATGTCTGTTCACCTCTCAAAAGCATGTGTGTGTGTGCATGTGCACAAAATGGTAGAGGATCCTCCGGGCGTTTAAAGCTGAATGCATTCCTTGCCATACACACACACCTCAGTGACTGTTGCACCTCAGGAGGTGGAGGATCTAATCATTTTGGCAGGAAGCTTTTAACATCAGTGCCTGTGTTTTATTCAGCAGACTTGCTCCCATCAGCCTCTCTGCGCATCAGGACAGCGCATGACAATAAAACAAACGCACCTGGCCAGAGGAGACAAGAGATGGGAGCCATAAGAAGAAGTTTTCTTCCAAAATCACCGAAGCGTCATCTGTTTCTTGGCAGACGTACATTATGGAATATATATGATACTTGGAGCTTACAAGTAAAAACATTTTGATTTGAAATTTAGACAAAATTTCAGCGGTGTATTGAAGTTCACACCTTTGCACTTTGGCCTGTTTGGACTCCACCACCCTCATTTGCTTGTCCTCTGGTCAGTATAGACCCAGCTGCCAGGTAATTAAAAACAAATTAGAGTGAACTTTCTCTCCAACTCATTCCAGCCGTTTTCGGTTGTCTCGTCTGATGACTCCGTCAGCTCTGTGGGTGTTTTAAGTGCAACCTGCTGAGCAATAAACTTGATTCCTCATGGCAATATAAAAAACAAAATCAGAAGAAACTAAAGTGCTTACAAAAACATTTGTTAAAAATTAAAACTAAAAATACTGGCTGCCCTGTTGAGACTGACTCCACTCTGGGAAAGCCCATTTGGCAAGAGCCATACACCGAGTTACTGTCTGTGAACAGAGCCACTTCAGTTGAGCAGGGTTTTTGTTTTTATGCCTTCACGCAACACCCTGAGATAATTACCTTGTTTATAATCCGCTGTCTGTGGCCATTTCTGATTCTGCTCAAAGCTCATGCAAATGTAGTTGTGTTCCAAAAATAATTATCACAGTTTCTGTCAAACTTATGCACAGTTACAATGTGTGCTTTATTCATAAGTGCCCATGTAGCATTATGAGGTGTTGTGTGCAAGAATACACAACATTACATAACAGCCTATCAGAGAGCACTGAAATGGCACAAATAATGCTCCAGACTAGACTGCACGCAGACGAAACCTCATCTGTCGCTAGAAGAATGGATTTATTTTATTTGATGGTTACGCAAAGTGGCTTTTCACAATAAGAGAAAGTATGATGATCCTCTTTGCTGCTTTATCATTTTCAAAACTAACACTGAAGCATAAATCTGTGACTTTCATATCATTCAAATAGCAAATGGGACAGAGCTTATAGTGGTGTTGCTGTTGTTAAGTTTCATCTTGATGTTTTGCTGTTAAAATATCATCAGCCAGCCAGGAAACATCCATCCATCTTCTGTTGTTGCCTCAGCTGGGTTTAAAGTTGTTGCAAAGGGTTAACAACAACTTAGGTTTAGATACAGATTTCACTGTGCTACACTGAACTGATGGATCTTCAACACGTTCTCATCCTTCATGTCAACATATGGCTCTCTAGGTATCCTTTTGCATTTGTTGTTGACGTTATGGGATGCTGTGTCAATCTATGCTTGTTACATGCATCGTGTCTTTTCAAAATACACTTCTGTTTTCGGAGGAAATATACAGTTTCTGCTCGGTAGATGCATACAGTCTCAAAAAAAACAACAACTGAAAGTCAGTAAAACACCTCGTATCTACGTGTATTTCCTTGTGCAACAAAAGCACGTTGTCAGGTTTAGAAAAAAAACATTCTGGTTTGGCTCAATATTCAAGCAGGAAGCGAACAGCAACCTCTCAGGTGAAAGTCCATGGTTTGTTGGATCCATTCCACCTCCTCTCCCAAGTGTCCCATAGGCACTTTCCAACTCCTTATATTGTAACTTAGTTACACTGTGGTATGATACTGTGAAAGATGCCTTTTGTGTCAGTGTCTATATATAGATCTAAGGCTGGCTGCACAAAACAACTTAAGTTAAGATTTTCCTTGAAGTCCTAGTTAAGGTTTCCTCATAATAAAATCAGTTGCACAAAACACCGTTAAGTCTTCTACTTACAGTCTCTTTAAAATGTTCACTTAAGTATAAATGGTTTTCTCCTTGCCTTGGTCTTTTATACTTAAAGAATCTCTTGACCGTTGCACAAAACACCTTAACAACCAAAGCAAGGTAAAAAAAAAATCTTTATCTTAATTGCAACATGATCAAATTTATGGTGATAAAAAAAAATAAGAAAAACTAACACACCCTGAGAAGAGTGTTCTGCGACCAGGAGAACCCAATGGATGCTTTAGATCTGACTGAATTAATTTTCATTGCAATTTCTTCTTACAATCGTTTTCTGTTTTCTGGTATTTGGGGATCAAATTAACTTTGTAGAATATGCTTTCTATGATTGTATTCCTCCAGAAGTTTAATCCTTTCCTCCTCTGACCAATATGGTTTTTCTTTCTTTCTTCTTTTATTCTGCCATTTTTCCACCACCTAACTATAAGCCAAGCAAACAATCTCCATGGAGACTTGTACCACTGTAAAATGTCTTTTAATACAGCAAATGAGTTAATTTTTTTTTAGCAAAGCAAACCTTTTAAGGGATTCTGTGCAACTGCAAAAGTCCCTAAGCTAAGGAGAAATTAAGCCTTAAGTGTCATACTTAAGGAGACAACTTAGGGTGTTTTGTGCAACAGGCCCCTGGAGATACATCCAGGTAACTACTAATACTAATTGGCTTTGTGTCACTACTGAATAGGTAACTATTTGCTATTTTTTTTTTTTTTTAATTATTTTAATTCACTGTGATGGAAAGAAATGGGAAGTCTTCTTGAACTTGCTTAATGTTGTCTTCACTGTACCATGTGAAGACCATGTACCATGGCATCAGACTCAGAGGAACAGAATGTGTTAAAGGGACAGTTCGTTAAATCAAAAATACACAGTTTCATTCTTACCTGTAGTGACATTTATCAATGTAGACTGCTATCTCTGCCAGGTGTAAGCCTAGAGGGAATAATGCATTTAGTCATGTATGTGTGATGGTGTGTCAGCCTGTCCGCTCACAACCCACTAGATCAATTAGCCTAATCATTTTGTATGCACATTTATCACAGTATGCCCGAAGACCTCTCATGGTTGCGGTGAATGACAATCGTTGAAAAACTGCCTACTCCTAACTCCTCTTAACCAGCCCGTAGAGGTGACAAGTTTTTTGGAAATCAGCCTGGCTAAAACAGACGGGCCTTACCCTCTGTTGCAGGCCACATTTTGATCTTCACTGTGGCTCAAAAACTGACATGCACAGAAAATAAATCTAATTTCATCTGAATAAATTCTGACTAATTCTCTAGTGTATTTGACTCAGTAGAAAATTCTTTTCATTGACTAAGTGCTCAAAGAAAACATTAGTTGTATAAAGCGACAATTGAAAAAAAACCTGTGCTCATTTCTTTGTGGCAAGTGAGGAAGGTTGAATGGACAAAGGCTGGCTGACAAATGCTGTTCTGCTTAAAACATGAACACTGTCATTTGTGGTGTTTCAGGAAGGAAAACTGCCTCAGTTATACTGACATATCAGTTTAAAGTTTTCTCCATCAGCTTTGTATGATACCCTGGAATGAAGACAAGAAGAAATCACTTTGTCCATGTTTGTTTATTCCCCATGTCAAGCTTCACACATGTTCATATATTCCACCAGTAAAGTCTGTCCAATGACTCAAGGATTTCATGTACAGATTCCCTTCACCCACACACTACTCTGTGTAGCTATGTAAAACAAAAAATGAATGTTCTCCTTATTGATTATGATCAAGATAATGGCAGTTCTATAACATCTCATAACAACCTTTCTTCTGCCAAACATGAATATAGATCTCTTAATAAATGTACACAATGAAAACAAAGTGTGTAGGATGAGAAACAAGAACATACAAACACATCAGTGCTAATATTCAACAAACATTTCAAGCACTAAGGAGTTCAAATTATTTTTTATGCAGAGAAAAGTCCGTTCGGGAAAACAACACCATCATAAGCAGTGATAGCCTTCATGGCTACACAGACGAGACAAGGACAGCCCGGTCACTAGAGAAAAACAATATTGTCCATCTCTGCAAACCACGGATATGTTACATTTCTTTGTTTCATACGTAATATCAACATTTCGAAAGTGGCATAATTCTAAATACATGTTTATGAGCTGAGTTTCTCATCAGGAGGTGGAGGAAATGGTGGATGGTGGTGCAGCGTGCAGCAGACAGCAGTAGGACACTGTTTGAGAAGAAAAGCGGGTATTTTTGTTGGGACACTGTCAGCCGCATTTGTGGCAACCAAACCGAGTATTTCAGGACAAAACATGATGTTTTCCTAATCTTAACTACAACCAAGGGGTTTTTGTACCTAAACCTAACCACGTTACCCACAAGTTTTAACATATCTGCTACATATGAAACATACAAATTTGACAACATGTAGTTTGCACGGAGGTGCAAGACCAACATTTATTCTGGCAATTGGGTTGTATAGGAAGCATGGTTGGATCACTTAACAAGGCTTTCAGGCACAGGCCCAGAGGCCAAAAGTGTCAGGGGCCCCCTGGCCTTCACTTGCAAAATGTTTCTTAATTTAACACCTACCAACCAACCAGGAAGTAACTCAAAATGACTACAAAGAGATGCAAAGGAACTGAAAAAGAAAAACACAACTACAAAAACAGGTAAAACAACCACAGAGAGACAGAAAATAACCTCCAAGAGACACAAAACTGCCGAAAGGAGATACAAAATGACTACAAAGCAGCACAAAACGACCACAGGGATGTAAAATTACCTCAAAGACAAACAAACCGACAAAAAGATGCATAATGACTACAAAGAGCCAAAAAACTACCACAAAGTCTATGTGTCTTGCTCTAATGTATAAGAGGTGATTGGGCCTTTTGCATATCTGTGCTCAGGGGCCAGCAACTCATGAAAAAGATGTCAAAGTACCACCCATAATGTTTGATTGACAGCTGATCTGTGTGCAGTGCAGAAAAAAACAAAACAATTAGTTGTTAACAACAAACATGAAGACAAAATAAGAGCTTAACACAGAATTGAACCCGCTATCCCTTTAATGACTTCTGTCTAATTGGGGTTACACAACTGGGCAGTGACGCCAGAGGAAAGTCCAAACCAGAAATCAACCCAAAGTCCAGCATAGAGAGGCTGAGTGAAAGAGGTCTGCACTCTGTGGAGGAGTGTCATGGTTTCAGAGACACTGTAGAAGGACAGAGTACCTGCACTGTGATCCAGGTACACTCCTACTCTGGAGGACTGAGGGCCTGAGACACGAGTGTGGACGTTGTTGTACCAAAAGTTATAACTGTTATTGTTGCAATATAACGCCCAAGACTTGTCATTGTATCCAAAACGACATTCATTCGAGCCCCCTGCTCTGCCGATATTCTTGTATGCGACTGCTACACAAACTCCTCCCCCGCTCCACTCCACCTCCCAGTAACAACGTCCAGTCAGACTCTCTTTGCTCAGGACCTGACAATATTTAGTGAATCTGTCTGGGTGACTAGAATAAGGCTGTGCTTCACTCGTTTTTGCTGCTTTTCTGTTCCCCTCAGATAATAACAGACATGTGTATGCTGTGTTTGGATCCAGCGTGATTTCACATGAATACTTTAAGAATCCGGCTCTGCTCTTGGGCTCTGGCTGTGGCAGTAAAACATCCACTTCAGTCACAGTCAGAGAGATGTTTGTCCATTTCTCACTCAAGACTTCCTGCAGTTTATCTCTGACTTCTGACAAAGCTGCTGTCACATCCTCGAAGTAGCGCAGAGGACCGATGTTGATGTTGGATGAGTGTGTAGATTCACTGAGTGGTAACAGGGAGGGGTAGCTGTGTAGAAACTGGTTGAGATCCTCTGTGTGTGAAAGCTCCCTTAGCTCAGTGTCTTTCCTCTTCAGGTCAGTGATCTCCTGCTCCAGCTTCTCCTGAAGCTCTTTGACTCGACTTACTTCAGTCTTCTGCTGTGATCTGAGCTGCTGCTCCACATCAGAGCTTCTTTCCTCCATGAGACGGATCAGCTCAGTGAAGAGCTTGTCACTGTCCTCCACTGTTTTATCAGCAGAGCGACTGATAGCCTCCACCTCCTGCTGGAGCAGCTTCACATCTTTCTCTCTGTCCTGGATTCTCTGCTGGATGTTTTGTCGACTCACCTCCACCTCCCTCTGCCTCTCAGTCCTCTCTGCTGCAGCTGAGACTGTGTCGTGGCCCTTATGTTCGTCCACAGGGCAGAGATGACAGATACACTGCTGATCCGTACGACAGAACATCGTCATCACCTCATCGTGACGAGAGCAGATGTTCTCTGGGAGCTTCGTAGAGGGCTCCACCAGCTTGTGTTGATTTAATGGAGCTGAGTCATAATGAAGCTGGAGGTGTTTCTCACAGTAAGAGGCCGATAGACAGGGTGTGAGAGCTTTCATTTTTCTCCCCGCACAGGCATCCCAGGTCATATCTTTAGGTCCAGCATAGCAGAGATCAGCAGGAGCAGCTTGGAGTCCAGTCTCCCTCAGTATGTCCACTAACACTGCTAATGTTGTGTTTTTCAGCAGGTTAGGCCTCGGTGCGAAAGTTTGCCTACAAAGAGGGCAGCTGTAGATTTTCTTCTCATCCTCTTCATCCCAGAAGCTTTTAATACAGTTCATGCAGTAGCTGTGTTCACAGGGAGTAGTCACCGGATCCTTCAGTTGATACTGACAGATGAAACAAGAAATTGTGTCCAGCTGAACACCTTTCTGAGCCATTTCACCTCTCACTGACAACGACTGTCGTTGACAGTCTCGCTTTCTCGGAAGTGAAACTAGTTTGGCCTCTGTTCTACACAGGGCGTGTTTCTGTAGTGAATGCAACCTGTCAGCACTCGCTTTGCATCACCATGTTGATGACACCCATATTTACACTGTAGATCTGAAGGGGAGGGAACAGGGAAATCTAGTTTGAAAGCAGGAAGAAGAGGTAGTGGTTATCAAGCTTTTCATCATTCCATGACGGAGAGCAGCACTTTGAATTGGAACTTTGTTTCCTTATTTCAAATAAAGTCTTGGTTAAAAATGTGAAAACATTCAGGTTATTAATTGTAAAATTCTTCTTGACTACTCAGGGTTTGGTGATGGCTCCATATGTCCAACTCTTCCTCAAAGTCTGTTCAGTTTTATTTTAGTGGTTAAAAACAGCTCACTGACAACAGGAAGTTATCAAACTAAACTGTCATAAGATACTCCAATTGCTGTATAATAATTTACTTACAACTCTAATTATTTACTCTGAAGCATTTGTGACAAAACATTTCAATTTCAGAATATCATCCTAAAACCAAAACTGCATTTCAAGCATCAGATGAGTTTAAACAAATCAAATCGAGCAAATAAGAACTAGAAATGCTGCAGTGTAACAATGCATTACAAGTACAAATCTCACTGAGGTAACAGTTGAAATACTACAGTGATATACTACAAGTCTTAATCTCATGGCAGTAAAAATAGAAATACTACCTTGGTACAATCCATTTCAGGTACAAATCTTATTGAAGTAAAAGAAGAAATGCTAATAATAGCCAATTAATTCTTCAGTCCTGAAACAGAGGGCAAGGCCTCGAGATCTTGGCTTTATGTTGGAACACTTTGGATTTCTGAAAAAAAAGAAAAAAAAAGAGGGCTATTTTGACACTCAAACCGGTCATTCAATTACGCTGGGAGCTGAGGATGTAATACGATAAAAACGAAAACCAGAAAGTTCAGCAAACTGTCAGCTTATTCATTTTCCCGAGGAAATGTCACATCCACTCATAAAAGAGATTTTTAGTTGTTTCTTTTTCATTTTTACAAAACTCACATTAAGAACCATAGATCTTGAGATAAATTTGTTGGTGTGATAAATATGCACAATCTTGTATTTGTAATGAATTTTTAATGCTCCTCTTTTGGAAGACAGTGTGAAGCACATTTAAATGTTTTTGTCTATACTCTTTGTGTTACATATTTTTCTATAATTCAATATCTCTGCCAAGTGTAAACCTGGAGAGGATCACACGTTTGGTCGTGTGTGCATGATTGTATCTGTGAGAATGTAAGTGTGTGTGTATCTGTCTGTAGCTAATCCCACAAACTTCTGGACCAATCAGCCTAATAATTTTGTGCGCCAATTAATGACTATACGCTGAAGGACCTCTTGTGGTTGTGCTGATTCAGAATATTTGAAAAATCAGTTTAACTGACTGTTTTATGCCATCAGTGACTGCTGACTCCAGGGCGGCAGTTGGTGGAAATTGTCTAAAAGCAACATGCCCCACTGTTGGATGCAAGTGCCATTTTGGCCTCTGTCATGGCTCAAAAACTGACATCCATAGAAAAGTTTGGTCTCATTTGAAATTGAAACATCTGCACATTAGTCCCATACCCAATATGATATTGTCCACTAATGGGACAATACAAGAGATGAATAGATCACTATTTTTGCTATTGTCACCGCCATCTTGACTGTAAGGAAGCTGAGAGGGACAATTCCACTGGGTGCAGCTGCACCATGTATCGGCTGGGATCCAGTCTGGTTCTGTTGCTGAAGGGTGTTACACCACACTGGGAGCATGGAGCGTTTTGCCTGCCTGATTTTGAAGACATGCTAATTTTGTTGATTTGGTCACTTTTCCTTGATACTGGAGCTTTTACCGTAAGTAAGCGGGCTATATAGTTACATTATTTCTTTATTTGTCTGTGGTAATGCTGTTTATTGTTATTTCCTACTTTGTTGTGCTGTAGCCTACAGACAAAGTTAATACCGTTAAAAGTCCAGTTGTGAGCAACATAGATCAAAGGCCTGTGGCTGTGTTTTACATTAATCCTTTTGAATTACAAGAATTGTCAAAAATTGGCACAACCTTGCATCAATCTCCTAAAGAGCCAGATATTTTTCTCAGCAGTTGGTAAACTGAGAGTGAACATTAGACTTTTTTCAGATGGCCAAAATCACGACTCCCAATGTTGTTCTCTGTCTAGATAAATCAAACACTGTTTGCTTGCATATTAGCCACATCAACTTTATATATATTTATTTATATTTTTCCTATTTTTTTGAGACACCACAAAAATGATTTTAAGGATTTTAGGGGCTGCAGATGTTAATTATATATTTCACACACTGGTGACAGGGCGACGTGATCACTTACCTAGGGATCTGGGGCCCAGCCGATGTGTTAGCATTAATGTTTTTCAAGGAAGTGATTTATATTGATTAGTTAAACATTAACCAAATATATATCCAGACTCATGCCTGTGACCTTACTAATCCTCCACAGAGTCATTACAGCCACCATATACCTTTTTGACCTTTTCTCTTGAGGCACAGAGTATTGATTTACAATAAGTTAACAAGTTTGAGGAAACAGATGCTGGCTCCTAATTTAACAGAATATAGATCCCAGCGCTAGTTTGTGTCCACTGATGATGAGGAGTCGCATTAACCTTCACACTTTTATTTGACTATTTAAAGTCGTTTTTGCCTTACCAACTGAGACAGAGCAGTTCACAGCCCCACATGTGAAATTGTTACAGTTTTGGTCGTTTTCTCAACTAATTGAGAAATTGCCCATATGTCCTACTTTGTGCCCTTGGGCAAGGCACTTAACCCTCCAACCTCCCTGCAGGGCCACAGAGCTGTCCGCAGCAATGCCAGCAGCAGATGGGTGAATGCTATGGAAATGAATCTGACCTACGAGAATGTGAATCTGATAATACTCTCACACAATCCAGTACACATACACACACACACACACACACACACACATAACTGATGTTCACAGACCTGCAGCAGAGGCCGCCGGCCACCGGTCGGTGCATTATTTAGCCTAAAAGCTTGTTAAGAAGAGCTCACAATGGAGCTGTAATAAAAGATTGATGTGTAAAAAACAGTTTAGTTAGCCCGTGTTATGTAAAGCAATAAAACAGCAGTTGAGAGATGGGCATGTAAGGGCAGAGAGGGAGAGACAGAGAGGGGAGTTAGGAGGGAATTTCAGCACAGATGCAGGACAAAAGGACAAACACCCCTAACAAGGAGGAGGAGAAATGAGAATGAGTGACAATGAAACACAAGATCAGAAAGAGACGAGGAGTCCTAGAAACCCAGGAAGAATGAAAGACAGAGAGTAAAAGAAAGAGTGAGAGACAGAGAGATCTCAGATGAATTAATCAAGTTCTCCTGAGGCATCAGCTAACATCTCCAGACGAGGCACAAGTTACAACCTCTCCAGACAAAAAAACAAGTCAGCAGAACACAGTGCATTATAGTGCAGAGACAAACAGCAACTCGCTGCACATGGCAGCACAGAGCAGACCAGTATGAAACAAACCAGTATGGACCAGCAGGACAGTTGTCATCATGATACACTCTATGGCATGATGCTGCTCTGGGGTTAAAATCATCTATCTCAAGAGACCACAACTTTAAGTAAAAGATGGTCAAATATGCTTGCCAAAGTTAAGCAGAGCTATTCTTTAAATTAAAATTGTAAAAAAAAAACAAAAACATATACACACATTTTCAAGCTGATCATGAGTTTAGAAAACTTATGTCTTAGCTTTGGTTGGAAATCTTTGAATGGTTCCAGTCATTCAGTTATCATCATTACTGGTAGTAGTGTAATCAATATTTTAATGCCAACAATGGATCAAAAGATTATGAGGAATGCAGTATTGGGAAGATTACTTTTGAAATAGGTTACTTGTTACCCTGGTAAAAATTTAATAAGTAATGTAACTATTTTTTAATTTCTTTGTCAAAGTAATAGAACTTATTACAATGAATTACTTTTAGATTACTTTTCTAACAAATGCTTTAAACTGGGCAATAAAGCTGAAAGAAGGCATTCCTACACAGAGGAAAGATGCAAAACAACAGAATGAATGTTACATTTTACTATAAAATTTTTACTGAAAAGCACATATATTCAGATGTAACTCCTTTGTAATCACCAACATTTTGATTAGTAACTGTAATTTAATTAAACATTTTTCTCAGTAACTGTAACAGATTACAGTTACATTTCCTTTTAAATTTAATTACATGTATCTAGCTACTGCCCAGCACTGGTGCAATGTGAAAGGGGTCACTCATAATTATAAATCCACAATATCATCAGCATCTTTCATGTAGTTGTTTTGTATTTACTCTCATCTGGTCAACCAGCAGCAACAGGCAGTTGTTTCCAGTGACAAAGCCCCAAATGAACCCACTGAACACTACTGGTTCAGCACCAAACAACACACAGACAACTATGTTAGTGACTAGCTGGTAAACACAGTAAAATATTTTGCCGCTAAACAGCTACATTTTTTAGTTAGGAGACCACACAGCTCAAAGGAAAATTAATATTGGACCAACATTTGCCAGGTGGACAGAAAAACGACTCAAAATGAATGATAATGTTGCTCTGGATGTGTTAATAGGCAACTGTTCGCTAACTCATTAGTTATAGCAACTTTATAAAGTGAATATGTCAATGATGTGTTAACAGCATGTTGTACTGCCCCCAAGTGGCCAAAAAAAATCTGTACAGGTTCAAGGACTTCTTATTTATTATTTTTGTATGAACTGGTTCAGATGACTTCAGTGGAGAAGAGAGCAGCTGTAGACGTTAAATTTTATTTTGCCTGTGAAGCATAATTTTCTTACACAACTGTAAACAGTGGCATCAGTACTACCTCCATGCAGCATCAGAAAGATTTTCTCAACTTTTTAACATCTCAACATGCATTTACACTACATAGAC